ATGCTTTAGCTATAAGGAGAAAAAGCTGTTACAAGGAGGAAGCCAGCTGGAAAATTCTAGTATTTGTAATATCTAATTCTGTTTGCGGGTTTGATGGTAAAAGATAATTTGCAGGGAACTTTGGAATTTTGTAAGATATTCAAGCAGAAGACTGTTTTGCTCTGCAAGTGACTGTTTTGCTCAGCCCAGTTCCCTGTAAATGCTCTGGGACCCTCTGCGAGCAGACCCAAGGTGGACATTATAAATCTGTTTACCTGGATGCTACTCCTAAACAGGTCTAGAGACCCAGATTATAGCAGAGCTGCAGTGGAGGGAGCAGAGAGAGAATCAGACAAATCCAGGTTGAGCTCATGACTCTGTCACCTTGGGCTTCTGATGTAAGATGCAAATATCGGAGGTTAGATGTAAAATGGACAGTGCCGACCTCATAGGGCTGAGAGGAGCGGTAAACCCACACGTGGATGTGCACACAAAAAATGGTCCTTGATGTACGAACTCAAAATGTAAAGGGGTATCTGAACAGCATCTCTAGAGAAGAAAAGATACGCCCAAAGTAGCCATTGCTTTCAACTGTTTTATTGCTGAACTATCATGATACAAGCCGTATAAAAATACTTTACATATAGCAAAAATAAACTACATTAAACTGAAGGTTAAAAACGTTTTGCATAGGAATGTGATGTATTCAAACTCCTTTTAACAGTCAAGATTTTCAAAACCTAAGCCTTCCAGTACCACCCCGTGGGAGAGACTTCTATTTGTTGGAGAATTAGCGAGGACATTCTCAACATTTTCTCCCCTCTGAGGGCTGTAGAGGCAACAGGGGTGAGTAAGGTTCTTTGACAAGGTGTGTCAGGATGCTAAGCTTGTCCCAACCACAGCGTCCATCCGTTCGGGCCAATCAGAGTGCTGAAAGCACCTGCTAATAGAACAGCATCATTTGCATCCAAAGCCTGAACTAGGCAGGTGGAGTTTATTCTAATCGGCCAACAGCTGCATAAAGGCAGGGTGTTAAACCTTTCTTCCAGCACCCAACACGCCAGTTCACTTTCAGAAGGGCTGGCTTACGGAGCCACTGCTAGCTCAACAATCACCAGAAACATTTGTTTCTAAACAAACTGAGTTAAGACAGTGATGTTGGCTATAACTCAAGGCACTCATGAAAGCTGAGAGAAATTGATGTTTGTGATCAGTTTCATGTGATGCTTCTTGTTCGTAAGCATTTAGCTGGAATGCAGGAAAACCACTTGCACTGGCTGGTTTGGCTCCATGAGATTTAATGCCTGAGACCCAAGCTTGGGAGATCCAAGGTTAAGATATGTTGGGTAGCTGCTAAGGGCCTGGCCCTCCAAAAGTGAGCTCAGGAAGGTTTACCCCGTCTCGTCAAGAATGTCACAACCCCTGTGCCACTTGTAAACATAAAGCAAACAAAGTTGTTAACCAGACCCCTGACCCTCTTTCAATTCTGAACAAAATAAGAAGGTCTTGGAAAGGGTTTGACGTGACAATAGACTCAAGCCTCCCCTTTAGTCCAGAGTGAGAAATAACACATCAGCTTCCGATCTGTCTACACATGACAGCTCCCGCACTGGCCAAGGCTGGCTTCCTGAGAGGGATGGCTTGGCCACTGGATGTAAACAAGAAAGGCTACATCAGTGCTTCCCAGTTCTTAGAAAGAATCGACTTGATTCGTCTAGTCTGTGTCTTTGCTGGAAAACTCTGGATGTCCTTTGGGTAATGTGTACGGGGGTTTATCTACCAGGATTCAGTTAGCTCTGTAAACATTAGCCTGCACTTCTGTTCTAGGAACTCCCCATTACTCCTGTGTCTTTTTTAGACTCCCCATTACAACACAGGCAGTTCTGTTACATCAAAATCACCTACTAGGTCCCTTATTGGAGGGATCTAAACACTTTCCAGTTCTCAGTGACAAGATGGAGGCTCTGAGCTGAAGCAAGCAGCGTCCTCAGGCAACAAGCAGGCCCTTCCTTCTTCCATGGAGCCATTCCCCCTCCTTTCTCTGGAGATGGTTTCTTCTAGCAGACAGGTGACTAACAGGCTCTGAGGTGGGCTTTTGTTTTGGGTGTTTTTTTTTTCCTGGAATGATTAACAAATCTTCAAGAATACATCCTTTCTCTTAGGGAAAAAAAAATCCTCAACGTATACGAAAAAAGAGACACTTGAAAAAGATTTCTGACCACTTATAAATATTTTCTAATTCCAACAAGGATGCGATATCTTGAGGACAGATAAGCATAAAAATACAGATAAGAAAATAAAATTTAATACCATACTCATTAATTTGGGTTGCTGTTATATATTATCAAGCAGCAGTATTTTTGTACAATACAGGAAGACTCAAACTTTGGAAATATACTACATTCAGCCACAGGGCAGATTGCTGTTGGAAGTGCTATATATTTACATTACCTTGGTTGTAGCAAGTACAAACCTCCACCTAACAGATCCTTCTAACACACGTGCAACACACCCATCTTGACAGTTTAGACATCCTTTTTCTCTCTCTCCGAGGACCTATTGCCTCTTCCCATACTGAAAATATTTCATGAGCGGTTTACTCTTGGCAAAACTTCCTCCTGGCATCTGTATCTGACAAAACTTTCTTGACTGCTGTCGAGTCTTTTACTACACATTCTCTTGCCTTGTCTCAAAACTAATGCTTTTGTTTCTTTCCTTTGCTATTTGGTAGAGTTGTTTATGAAAGTGCTTCCTATAATACCCAGCTAGGATGTCTTAGAAAAAGAGTTTGTGAGTGTCTTATACACACACACACGTACATCTATACATTACAGGAATCTGAACTACTAGGAGGCCCTTTGCACTAACATGGTTAGAATAGTGATGGAAAACGCATTAGTCCTTTTTCACCCCATGCACAATGCAGCTGAGCGACTGCTACAATAGCAGGAAGGCACTTGGGTAAAACATTCAGATAACTGAGGAAAGGCCAAATTCCCTCATGTGCAAAAAATGGCTCCCAGCCAGGTCAAGTGAGAACAAATCGCTCACCAAACGCTTGAACCCTTCCCCCGTGAAGTCAATATTGCTGCAGAGAAAGTTCTTTAGGTAAAGCTGCTTGGATAAGGAACGCTTTATTAATGAGGAAGAATTTTGCATCCCAGAAGCTTTGCGATGGCGGTCAACTTCTTACTGGCATTCTGTTTGTTGAAAAGAATCTTGCTAAACTCTGCTTGGGGTGGGTGGAAAAGTCCCCTGTCCTTGGGGCGGGGCCGGGGGTGGGGGCAGGGAAGAAATGCTAGGTCCTGACCAAAAGGGTACAGACATGTGCTGCATTCTGTCCTCTCTCTGGAGCCCCAAACACACCAGGCCGGGGTCACAGGTCCGGAGTTCCTGGCCCAGCTCTCAGAAAGGTTTTGATGACAAAGCCAGGCCTTAGAAAACCCACAGTGGGCCCTTAACTGCCACGATTCTCTTCGTAGAGTGATTTTTTTCAGTCAACTCTGCTAGGCAGAAGGCCTGAGTACAGCCTTTTGAAGAGTGCCAGGAATATTTACACTCTGTGTTTGATTACAGGGAAGCGATTAAATGGCCGAAAAGGAATCCCCAGTTTGTCCTGGGGTGTCTGCAATGAATGTAAACAAACACATCTGTGTGATTAAAAGCTCACCTGCCAAGAACTTGGAGGGTTTTATTTGTTTGCAAAAATTGCCCCAAAGGAGGAAGACTTTGGCGGACCGTGGGTGCACCCAGAGGAGAGAAACACTCAGGGCTAAGTTGCACACTCCATGCGAGTGGTCTGAGCAGAGCGCATTCAAACTAAGAGCTGTGTGGGAGAGGATCTGCTTCTATTCAGATCACATTTGTGCTGGATGAAGCAGGTAATGCAGAGGCGTCTTTGGGACTGGGGCGGGGGGCGGGTTTCAATGGGTTCAGTTAAAAATGACCAGTGAACTTTGGGGCCAGATCGTGAGCTTGAGTATCCCACTTTGTGTCTAGGCCAGAGAGGGAATTCAGCCTTTTTCCTCTATCATGGGGGCGCCCACCCACCGAAGCACTTAGGCCTGCCAGCTGCTATACTTTGCAACCGTTTTACTTAACAAAAATATCTGCCCTTTTTTTTTTTTTTTTTTTTTTTTTTTTTTTGGTTGCTTTAGCCCTTCTGCTGTTCCTTCTCAAAATTCAATGCACATGCTTGAGATTCTTCTTAACTACTGTACTTTCTGGAAAAGCACTTGGGCTGTTAGAGGAAAGAAAGCGGGAACATCAAAAAGCCGCGAAGCCTGTCCGGCTGCAGCGGATGCGTGCTCACCCGGCAGCCTGGGTGACCTCCTCTAGTCCGTGACCGCGTGCTGCAGGGGGGAAGGGCAGCTAGCCAAGAGGGCCCCCCTCCGCCCCCCGGCCAGCTTTTTGAAAGCAGAGAAGAAGAAAGTGTACACATGTCATAACGCCGAGAAGCTTTAACAGGTGATCTTGTATGAGCCAGACTGTTTTTGATTCAGAAGCAGAACATTTAAAAATCAAGCTTGAGCTGTGGCCCATCCCTGGTGTGGACGGGCAATCCCTAGGGAAGATGGGCCGGCTTCTTTGTTTTTCTTCAGCCCAGTGACGTAAGCTGGGTCACGTTCCTTTGGTTGCTCTGTTGGAGAGCTCCTTTCCTTCAAAAGGTACAAGAGCTGTATCTGTGACCCAAAAAAGTGAAGGCAAGGGCTGGGGTTTAACTGCATCCCCATCTTCCGTCCCCCGAGTCCCCGGCTGCAGGCTCTCAGCTCTCCGGCGCATTCCAGCGGGTGGTCTGGTTCAGGATGTATTTGGGGTCAGCAGGCACTTAAGGTTTGGATGGGACACCTCAAAGTCAACCGAGATGCTCTTTGGGATTTAGAACAAGACTCAGATGCACAGAGCGGAGGCGAGCTCCGGAATAGAGGGTTAGCTTTCGGCCGGTACATGGTCCCGTGCTCAGCCTCCGGGTGGGGTGGGTACCGGGGAGGACGGTGGGAGGCTCCGGCGTTAGCAATGTGGATGGTGTCTTGCTAATGGCTTTCTTCTATGTCTGATTTCGGGCAGGAGGTCCTGAAAACTCCTTCCTGATAATTTCATTAACTACGAAAGAAAAGAGAGAGAGAGTCAGGGCGAGTGAGAGGGCACCCAAAACAGGGATCAGGTTAGCTTTCTAGAACCTAATACAACTGGGCTGGTTTTTAAAACATGTTTTTGTCTTTGCAGTAACACATTCGACAATCTTTAACATAAGAAATGCCTTCCCACATCATGATTCTTCCTCACCCCCCATGATGCTATTTTGTGGTATGGGTTTGTTAGTGAAAATTGCCCAAATGGTAACTTTTAAAAATTGCTGTGGCAGAAATGGCTGGGCCACAGGGCATGATTTAAGGAACACTTTCTCCTTCTTGTTATTGAATGCACTCGAGGTGCTCTACTGTATACCAGACTCTGTCTGTTATTACAACATCCAGAAAATACCCACTCCATGACTAAAACACAGTTCCTTGACCCACAAAACTTACGACTCGCAAGAGGGGCCTTTAAAAAGAGAATGGGTGGAACCACCACAAAGCCTAGCCATCAATGTAAACATAATCTTCATCCCTTTCAGCACAAACCCCCCTTACCCCTCCTCACTAGTGAAGGATCACACTCTGAGTCTTCTCAAGTACCAAGTGTCCTCAAGGGGCTCTGGAGTGTTCCATTACCCCCTGCCCCAGAAAGCTGCATGGAATTTAGCAGGGAACCAAGAATGCAGTGCCAGCCAGTGGCATCAAGGAGCTAGCTCTACTCTCCCATTCTGGCCACTTATCTGAGGCACCAGGTCCTGGGATCAAGGCAGTAAGGTCTTAGAATAGTGGCTCTTGCACAAAGGCTTCCTTCAATGTTCTTGGGGAAAAGTTGCCTTCAAAGGCAGCCCAGACACCAGGCAGGGGTGTGCACTTGCCCTAAAGTGTGTGTGTGCACTTTCGGCTTTACAGCTGGATTGTGTGGACTGGGTCCGGGAGCAGAAGAGGAGGCAGGACCCCTCTGGGGTCCCATAAAAGGGAGACGAATCTCTGCTCTCCTGGTGCTGGCACTAAGTTCCTCCCACAGCCGCCGCCTCTGTTTTCTCATCTCAGCCTCATCCTAAAGTTACAGAGGTGGAAGATGAACAGTGAGGGTTAACTGTCGATGGGCTCAGACTCCCTCCGCCCTGAGCTCGCCTAGGTCCAGGGTGCTCTTCCCTGGAAAACCCCTGCTTGGATGAGTCTGCAACTCCCAGAATAAGAAGAGAGCAAAAACACACTGCTCTGGAGCTGGATAAGCTAGGTTTGACTCCTGGCTCCCTCACTGAACGGGCCGTGTGACCTTACCCCTCTGTGCCTCGGCTTTCTCAGTTGTAGAGTGAGAATCATCATTGTGTGTCCCTTTTGGGGCTGTTGTGAGGATGCTGGGCATTGACATATATACAAGCTCCTAGCAGGAGGCCAGGTAACCAGTGTCGTGTAGCTGTCAGTTGTGTGATGGGTAGTGATACCCCAAGCTTTGTGCTGGACTCTAAACCTAGTGCTTTACACCAGCGGGCTCTGTTTTGTGGCAGAAACCAATCAGGCGTCGCTCACTGTTCTTCAGATGTGTGCTGAAAGCAGGTGCAAGGGGCGCTCGAGAGTTCAGGTTCTAGAGCCGGGTGGTCGGGGCTGGAAGCCCACCTCTGCTGCTTCCTTGCTCGCTGAACCTCGCCCTAGTGAGGTAACTGCTCTGTGCCTCAGTTTCCCCATCTGTAAACTGTGTATAAAAATATGACCTTCCTTCTACAGTTGTTGAGGAGCTTAGAGGAGATGACACAGTGAGAAAATTATCACAGTCCCCGGCGTAGAGCAGATGTTGGTTCAGAGAGTGGTATGTGCATTTGTATATATGTACGAGCACATGACACAGTATCTCTGGAAGTTAATGGATGGGAATGTATGTATCAGAGTAACAACCGGCTCCAAAGTGTGGGAGTGGATCCACTGATAGGAACTCCGGGGATGAATTCGTGTGTTCGGCTAACCAGCTCTAACTGGGCCCTGACTGTGTAGCAGATACCAGCTGACTCCCGGAGCTGGAGGAAGCAGGACCCCTCGCCTCTGCAGCTCCGGCCTCGGGGAAGTGTGCAGGGCTGGGCGGCCCGGGGGGCCCTCAGTGAGGACAGCCAGGCAGGAGTGAAAGCACGTGGCCAGGGGGAGGCGGGGTCGGTGCGGCTTCACGCGAAGCTTTTCAAAGCCCGGATTCTGAAGGGTTTCCTGTTTTCTCAACCTAGGAAACGAGAGGAGTCAATCCTCAATGGAAACGTTCCACGGCCACGGCTTTCTAAAAATAACTGCTGGGCAGAGCCACTGGCACCACCGCCCTCGCCAAAGGGTTGTTTCCCTTCTCGGAGCTCGGGGCCAGGTTAGGGGCTGGGTGGGAGATGGTCTAGCTTCCCCCTCCCTTTGGATGGAAACCACTCTGGCTTTCTGAAAGTCACAGTCGAATCTAGAAAACTCGGGGAATGCTCTGCATCGGACCCCCCTCGCGGTCGGGGTACGGAGGCGGCCGGCCGCCCAGTCGGGTCCCAAAGCGAGGCCCACTCACGCCCGCTGCAACCTCTCTTGGGGAGAGGAACCTTTTCTTTCTGAAACCTCAGAGCTCGTGCCCCTGGCTGTGGATGGGGAGAAAGCTCTAGGGCAGAAGCGCCAGCTGGGGGGGAAGCCACAGCAGTGCAGCCACATGGGTCTGCAAACATGGGCTCCAAGTTCCCCGAAAGGGTCTCTGCCCAGCCTCGCGTCTTTGGGTGGAAGGGAAAGGGGGGCATCGTGCTGCCCTTTCTTTGAATCAACTTCCCGATGTCACCATGGAACCTCCTCCTGGGAAGGAAAGGTGGTCTGCCCGTTCAGCAGCCCTGTCACCTCCTCTCTGTCACACCTTTAGTCTCACTTCCTCAGTCTGGCCCACTACGTGCTTAAGGTCTCCTTTATCCAAAACCCTGCTCTGGGCTTGTCTTGCCCCTGATCTGGTTCCCGCTGTGACCTCGCCTCCTACTGCCTTCCCCCCCACCCCACCCCTTGGCCAAAAAGGGCGTATGCGTTTTTTCCTGAATATATTCAGGAAAAAACGCATACGCCCTTTTTGGCCAACCAAGCAAGCTTGCAATGGACATCTGCGATACAATGAACTCTCACTTCCCCCCCCCCCCCCCCCCCCCCCGCACCCAACCACACTGGCTTCCGCTCTTCGTGCTCCCCAGGCCACACTCATGCCTCCAAGCCTCTGCCCTTGCTGGTCCCCTCGCCTCTTCTAATGCTTTTCTCCCTCACTTCTTTCGAGGCTCTGCTCAAACAGTCTCCTCGGCCCCAGGCTCTGGGGACAGTCGGCAGTGCCACCTGCCGCCACCCAGTTGTGCTTGGTCTCCTTATCTCCTTCATGTACCGGTTCCTGGCAGTTCACTGTTCCTAGTGCTTTAGTTTTCTTGTTCCCCCACTGTATCCCTGGCTTTTGAAGAGTGCCTGGGTACAGAGGAAGCGCTCAGTAACATGTATTACTGAGAAAGCGGAAGCTTAGCAAGGGACTAAGTAGCCTCAGGTCACACTGTCTGCTCTGGGATTTGGCCCCAGGTCTGACTCTCAGGTCTGAGTGTTGAAACCCGCCCTTCTAGGTCACTGCCATCAGTATTTCATTCATCCGATAAATGTTTTGAGCGTCTATCCTATGCCAATTTCTGCACCTCTTCCCAAATCGGGCCATGGGCAGTTCTCCAAATGGTTCCTCTCTTGTCCAAATCCTGCCTTCCCTCCTGCCCTCTTTCCTGAGTATCACCTTTTTCCCGGAAGCCTTCTCACATTCCTACATGGGGTCCTGACTCCCTCCAGAAGCAAACACTGAGTTCTCAAAATGCTTTGTTTGCCCCCCTGTGCCATGCTATTTGAGTTGCTTGTATGCCCACTGTACCATGCATAGCAGCATGCATACAGCAGGTGCCTAATGCATGCACCTTAGCTCACCACGAGGACCCCACACCATCAGTTTAGGGAAGCTGATTTTTCTGTTATCCAATTGACAAACGGCTTTTTGGTCTGTTGTTTGCCTGGAGCTTTTTCTCCACAAAAGGATATAAGCCATTCACATTTTTTCAGGGATAACAATTATGCCAGGGGCTGAACCAAGCACTGAGTTACTTCTCACACCAAACCTAGTAATACAGTCATCCTCGTTTTATAGATGGAGAGAGAGAGACAGGCAGTCACTTGGCACGGCAGGTGAAGGGGAGGGATCAGGATTTGAATCCATAGCCCCATTTTATTAACCTGTATATGGCTCCACTATATAGGTAAAGAGATTGTGCTATGAGGTTTGCTAGCCATCACCTTTCTTCTGGGGCTCCGGAATCCTCAGCAGCTTTTGTGTGTCAGGAAAAGGCCAGGGCAGCCTCTGCGAAGTTAATGAGCAGACAAGGCTGTGTGCTGAGTGGTTAAGGTGCTCACTGAGCATCACTTTCTTGGAACAGAATTGAGGCCAGTGGTGTTCAGTCTGCCACAAGCACCCCCGACCTTTTGTTACCCTTACAGAGAGACACTGTGATGAAAACACAGATGTTGAACATGGCTACAGCCTCGGCGTGATTTCTAAGCCTGACACCTAAGGCTGAAACCAGAACGAAAGAAAGAAAAAGACAGACGCATGTAAGTATATACATTTTTCTTTAAAACTCCAAAAAATAAATCTGTAGTATATGCAGTATACATGACAAAGGTCATCCATATATAAAGAGGTGTTACAAATCAATAACAAGTCTGATAAAAATGGCTACAGACATAAAGAGAGAACAGACCAGGGGTCAATAAACTTTTTCTATAAAGGGCCAGATAAAAATATTTTCAGCTCTGTGAGCTATATAGCTCCTTACTCAACTCTGATTTTTTTTTTTTTTTTAAACATGAAAGCAGCCACAGACAATATGTGAGCAAATGGGCATGGCTGTGTGCCAATAAAACTTTGTTTGTTTAACAAAACAGGCCAGGGGCCACATTTGGCCTGAGATATGGTTTGCCAGTCTCTAGTATACACGCCAATGGCAAAGAAGAAAAAGAAAGCAA